TCTGCGGCGGCGGCGTAATGACTCGGGGCTCTGCAGATGTTTGTTTCATGCTGCTGGGCCAGTCATGATGCGCTGACATGATAGAAGCCTTTAATGAAATCCTGGGTAATGGCTGCGTCCCTGCAATCACAGACTGAGCTTGTTGGGCTGTAGCTGCGAAGCTGTGGCGCTAATCAGCTACAGGACCCTCTGACAACATGAGTCTGAGAGACGAGGCTGTAACAGGATGAAACAGCCTCACAGCCGTTGGACAAACATGGACTCGTATCAGCTGTTTTTACACCACAGACACAAAATGAATCTGTTCAAATTTTATAGCATGAAAAAAAATATGTTTGGAGGCTGGATGGAGATTTCAGAGCTGTGAGTCATCTCACCGTTCACTTAGATTTGTATTCTTAATGTGATTACATCCTCCAACGCCCCGTGACCCCGGAGGTCCAGTTTGTTTCCAGAAGTCTAGATTTTCATTTTGTTGAATTTTAGTAACTAAAATCTTTTTCCTTTCATGTTTAGTTTGTTTTTCCTCTCTAGAACAGCCTGGATCCAGATTCAGATCATGTTTTACGGTGGGTCAGGGTTTGGTCCCGCCCCAGTCATAAAACCCCTCTAGGTTAGAGTTAGGGTTCAGTTTCTCTCTGCCTGTCTGGAACAAATGTAAAAGCCTCTGTACGAGCTTTTCTTTGAACAGGAACATCTTCCACCTCGTGAGAGTTTGCCTCTTCGACCCTGATCCAGCATGGTTGACTGGAGAGCTGGTGGCTGACCTGATGGAGGTATGTAGAGGAGCTGCAGAGGCAAAAGCACTCCAACCAGAAGTGGACTCTGAACCTGATTCTTCATATGCTGACTTTGTCTTCTTTATTTCGGTTAAAGCTGTCTGTAGTCCTGTGCAAAGGTTATAGATGTTCACTTCTCCAACGCAGGCACCATGAGAAAGACTCAACTTCAACTACAAGAAGAACGCAGAGCCCTCAAACAGATGGATCAGTCTGGGATTGTGCGGGGAGTTTCAGGAGTAATCCACACAAGAGCTGTGGAAAGTTCACTGAGATGCTCCAAAGCCAAATGAGTCCAAGACCAGTGTAAAACCCAAAGCCCCAATCCCAACGTCCATGCCACCGACTTCCAAGTCCTCCGAGATGATCCAAAACCAGCCTAAACCATGTTCATGGGCGAACCCTGATCCAAAATACTGCAGCAAGAGTCCTGACAGGGACTAGAACAAAAGCTGATTTCCCCAGCTTATCTTCATGACCTTGTAGTACCATATCACCCTATTAGAGCACTTCGCTCTCGCTCTGCAGGCCTACTTGTTGTTCCTAGAGTATTTACTCTTCACCCCCGCAGATTGGTGCAGCGGTCGCATCACTGCAGGTGCTGAACCAATCCATCTGTCAGTCTCATGCTCCCCTCACTGGTGGACAAGACCCCGATATAGCTGAACACCTCCACGTGGGGCAGTAACTCATCCCTGACCGGAGTAGGCACTCCACCATTTTCCGGCTGAGGACCACGGCCTCACGGCAAGGCTGGCAAGGCACCGGCGTGAGGGTCAGATGACATCATAGTGACATCACATCCAGCCTCCATATTCAGCTAAATTCAGGTTCTACAAACTGATCCAAACTCAGCGGCCCCACAAGAGATTTGAAGCAGTTTTGAAAGGATGAATCTTTGTTTTATTTTCTAAACTCAAAATTCAACTTCCTGTTTCTCGGCCTGGTCACAGAGCGGCCATGTTGCTGTCACCTCCTCGCTCTTTGGGCGGGTCACACCTCCTGACTGTGACTGCTCTCAGTTAAAGCTGTCCCCGTGACTAAAACCAGCTCATGCAGTCAAACGGAAACATTCAAAGTCTTTAAAGGCAGACTTTCAAAATAATATTCACATTTTTTTAGGCAGTTTAATTTGAAATTCTTTGGCCGACTTCAGACTGTAAACAATCTGCTCTTGTTTCTTTCAGTTTTTTGGAAATGAAATATTTTCAGAGTTTAACCTCCAGCTCGAGCAAAGCAGGATAAACTGATCCACTAGGGGCGGGTTTTGATGATCGATTTATCGATTAAAATCGATTCTGGCTTGGATAACGTGATATCGATTCATTCAAATCCTGAATTGATTTTTTAATATAAATTTATTTTGCCCGAAATGCCAGAATCTCAGTTTCAACAACCACCAAAGATGAAAACAGTAACTGAGAGCAGGAACAGGCTTCTGCACAGAGACGTGAACACAAAGCTCGACCCGCCGACGCATCAGGATCAGCGAGCTGTGACTTTCTCACCGACGGCACGGACACGGTCGGAGCTGAAAGCCGACAGCTGGCCGACTCTGTCGGCGGGTCGAGCTTTGTGTTCACGCCCTTTTTGCGCTGATTCTGAAGCTGTTAGTTTGATCTCTCTCCAAACAACATTGACCGAACCAGCAGCAAAAGAAGATCCAAACTACGCTTCACACAAACATCGTCATGGATTCACTCTGACTTTTGCTGTTTTGCTTCCACCAGGATAAAATCACACTACATGCACATTCTCTGCCGTTGTTTACAGGCTGTCGGACGCTGTTTGTTTCCTTTTACTTACTTCCGAAAAGAAAAACCTAATTTCTGCCGTTCAATACTGAACAAATTTAAACTTTTTGAAATTATACAAAATGCAAAACGCTGTGTCTGTAATAAAACCGCTGTAACTTCAGAGGTGATGTTCATGTGCTGATTAATGGTTTTCTTTCGTTTTTGATCGACTGCAGAATATTTTTATAAAATCCAGAACAGGAAAATCTCCTTCATGTTTTTCTGTTTTATCTTCAGCTGCTTTGACACAAAGGCCTCTGCTGTGACGCTCACACCTTTGATAAAGTCTTGCGTGTGTCAGCTTCCTTTTTATAGGTACAAAAATATGTAAATGTGCTGATCTGAATTATAATATTTCTGACTGTCTGAGGCAAAATTTCCCAGATTTAAATCGAATTGAATCGATTCGGGACCTTGTGAATCGGAATCAAATCGATTCTAGAAATCAGTCACGATACCCAGCCCTATGATCCACCTCAGGCAAGGACGGCACGGCGGCGAGGCAGCAAGGACACGAGGCAGCAAGGACACGAGGCAGCAAGGACACGAGGCAGCGAGGACATGAGGCGGTGTCTGTTTTCTAGAAAATACCCAAAAAGCTTGAATGAAATCCTGCGAGGCAGCACGACTGCAGCCATATTTTATACATAATTAACACGCAGTGATGCATGAACATGTCCATGCCTCTCTCTCTCTCTCTCTCACACACACACACACACACACACACACACACACACACACACGCACACACACACACGCACACACACACACACACACACTTTGTATGAATGCACCAAAACCTTCATCTTCATCACAGGCAGACAAAGAAAAGAGAAGAATCCAGCTGGAGGTGTGATGCAGTGACACACCCACCCAGGCGGAGGCAGCCGCACATGTCCTGCACATCCAACCTGTGAAACTGAAAGATTTTTCCCGGGACGCTCACCTGGTCCTAGTCCAGCACGGTAAGCTGCAGGGTGAGGTTCATCGTGTCTCTGCAGGAGAAGTGGGAGGTACAGATCCCCCGATGTGAGCGATAGGAGCTGAAATGAGAGATGACAGTACGCTGCGCTCGGCGAAACACCCGTCAGATCTTCTATTAAATGATGCTGTGGCTCGCTCAGCCTCCTCTCACTAAGATCTGTTTGATTTGTGATGCAGAGAGTCTGTGCAGCAGCTCCGTCTGCTCCACCGCAAGAGGTGAAAGGAAAGGGAGGGGTGCTTTAAGAGTGTGTGTGTGTGTGTGAGAGAGAGAGTGTGTGTCGTAGTAGTAGCTGCCCTCCTCTCCCTCTTTCCATCTTTCCTTCAGTATCGAGCTGGCTCAGGCTTAAAAGCACCTTCTGACAGAGCCTTCAAAATAAAAGCCTCAAGATGAAAGCTCAAACCCTTTTCATTGATGTTAGTGCCTCTCTGCCACCAGATCTGCTTTTACAAAAGTTGAAATCCCTGATCCAACAACCAGACTCTGACCCATATTTAGCAGAATCTGCGACATCAGCCCCAAATTAAAACCTGAAATCAACCCTGTGAGGAAGATTTCTATTGGTCAAGACAAGCACCACGAAATCTGCTCAACTCAACGACGCCTCGTACAACCTCGACTGTGAAAAAGTTAGGATGATATATCAAATATAAATAAAGCTGCACAAAACACAAAAAATGATGATGTCAGCGGCACAGGTCTGTGTTTCCTCTCTAACATTAGTCTGTGATGTCTGTGAGCCGAGGACAGCAGCTGGTCTGTTGGAGGATACTTTTCTGACCTTTTATTGCTTCAGTCTCAGCTTTGTTGAGACGTGTTTCTGCCATCAAATGAAAAATGAGCTCATATTAAACATTTGATATATTTCTGTGTTTTTATTGTGATTTAAAAAAAGCTTATGAGATTTGTATTTTCTTTCTTTAAATAATTTCCCAGGTTTTTGACTCTTACTTTGAATAAGACCCTTATACTGAGAATCATGTGTTTCCTGCCCTCCAGTGGTCACAGTGTGAAACTGCATTTACAAACGTGTTACAGGTGCTCAGTCTGACACACACTTTCCTGGTAGTTCTTTCAAAATAAGAGGGGAACCAGTCCCATAGACTCCTATGTTAAATCCTTACAGCAGTAATAAACATGTTTACAGCCGGATACACAAACTGTTTGGTCTCTGTGGATCATTTCCCCGTCATAACAGCTGTTTGTATAACTCACCCTCTAAAGTTTGCATTGCTAGGGGCGTGGCCTCTTTGACCGGCAGGTGGAAGTTAATACAGGCGGCTGTAGCTGCTAGCTTTCTGCTAGCGTCACCTGAACTGGACCTCTGGACCGTGTTTGTGCTGTTGGAGCATCTTTCATGACATCATCAGATATGTCACATCTCTGCTATGAGGTTACTATAGCAACAGGCCGTCCAACAAGGCTGAGCTCCAGTTTCAGCGATGGAGTCTGCGGACAGAGACTGATGACCACGCTTTAATTTTGAAAGACCGGAGCTGAGCAAGAGCGTTTCCTGTCGGGTTTGTTGTTTCCGGTGTGGATGCAGCTGTTGGAGGTCCCAGCATCAAAATGACCAAGCTGCAGCTGCTGAACGCTTACCTGACGGAGCGGCTGACGGTGGTGGTGAAGGAGATCCTGGACGTGGTGGAGGACACGGTGGCCGAGTACCGGGAGGAGACTGCCAGAGCCAAGCGGGAGAACGAGAGCCTGCGGAGGCAGCTGCGGGACATCCTGCTCCTGGAGGCCGGGACCGAGTGGCTGAGTAAGGGCCGAACTAGCCGGCTAGCTCCGCGAGAGAACGCGCATTCAGAACTGCGATGAAAATCCGCCTGTTTAATAGAAATACGCCGCTTTAACGTTAAATTCAGGCTTAACTGCAGATTTTCACGGTTTTATGTGTTGTTAAGGACGGATTCGTGTATTCGGCATCATTCAAACCGTCTGATTTTACCGACATTTTTACGATAGATGTGACTTTCTGTCATTTTTCGTGTCAGTTCCTTTTTGCCTTCGAGCCTAATGAGAGTCACCTGATGTAGGTACTCATTTCACTTTTTTTCACGCAGTGTTTTCATTTAAAGTTTATTTACACAACGTATCTCATTTACCCCATTAAACATAAAGGGGGGAACACAGCTGAGCATTAAATTGACAGACTGTCACATTGACTTTGGTATGAGGAGCTTTGCGTGAGGTGTCAGTTGGGGAGAGCTGACTTTCAGGAAGTTTGAAGGACTTTCGGTCATTCGGGTTTCTGTTAAAGGGGAATTCCGTACATATTTACGGTACAGCACATTGAACTGTAAAAAAACACACACATTTGCATAGAAACCAGACGGTGAGCGCAAAGGAGTTGTTTATGTTCGATAACCTGTGAAAATATGTCAACCTCTAAAATAATGAGGATAACTGGCTGACGCCTGGTGGCACTACTGCTTAACATGGAGCTGTTCTGCTTTGTTTTATGTCCTGTTTTAAATATTGAGGTCAGTATAAGTACATGTATCCCTGTGAGCTTAAAAAAATTTTTTTAAAATGGCCCCACCCACCTCCTGTTTATGAAGAGCAGCCAATCTGAAGACAGCTGGCTTAGAGGACAAGGGGCTGTCACTATTCAGGAGTGACAGTGTAACACAAAGGGAGCTTATTTTGAAATGTAATCATGCAAAGCTTTTCTTGGGGCCCAAAAACAAGTGTAAACTCTGGAGCTCCAGGTGTGAGTCGAATGTTTCTTCTGACGTGCTGGACGTCGTTCGGTCGCATCAACTGTTTGCTTTCTGTGTTTCAGAGTCCACCAGGTCCAGTCTTGGTTTGGCGGCTCCCGACCAGCCTGGTGAGCCCGAGTGGAGGCCTCGCTCCGAAGAGCCGGACTCTCGCCCGAACCCACCCAGACCGCCGCCGCCGAACGTGGACAAGCCCACCCATGAGCAGGTGGTGTCTGTGCAGCTGCTGGCGGTCCACAGCGACTCCTCTCCGGGGCCGGTGCACCTGCCTGTGGAGAAGAAGCTCTTGGAGCTGCGGGACGTGGCACCAAAGCCTGACCGTCTACAGGAAGCGTATGGGAAAACTTCACCTGTCACCTCGCACTCCTCCCTAAACCCTCCTACTGTCTCCGTCCCCAAAATTCACATTGAAGTTCCTGCAGTGCTCAGGGAGGAGCCCCGGGCTCCGCCCCCCGCGCTCATCAAAGCCGAACCAGAGGAGTACAGCGTGAGCAAGCCCAAAGGTCGCACGGACTCTCTGACCGAGGCCGCAAACGGTGCCGCCGAAGAGTTCTGGAGCAGGGCGGAGGCGGAGAGGACGGTGGTGGTGGTGCGCGCTGAGAGGCAGGAAGCTGAGCGGAGCAGGAAGTCCTCCCAGGAGAAGCCGGCAGCCGGAGACAGCACAGCCTCCGCTTTCATCCCCGAACTTGTCCATCGCTGCCCGCGTTGCGGTGAGGCCTTCGGACAGGCCGCCAGCCTCCGCCTCCACCTGGAGCAGAAGAGGAAGACCTACGCCTGTGACTGGTGCTGCAAGTCGTTTGCGCAGTCGGCAGACCTGCGGCGTCACCTGCGCACGCACACAGGGGAGCGGCCGCACCGCTGCACCTTCTGCTCCAAGAGCTTCAGCCAGAGAGGAAACCTGCGGCGTCACCTGCGCATCCACACGGGCGAGCGGCCGTACAGCTGCCCGTTCTGCTGCCGCACCTTCAGCGACGGCGACACCATGAAGAAGCACAAGCGCACGCACTCGGGAGAGAAACCATACCGCTGCGCGCAGTGCGCCAAGACCTTCACCAGCGCCAGCGGCCTGCAGATTCACATGAAGAAGGACATGTGCTTTGTGGCTAACGCCTGATTGGGCGCTTCGGGAATGGACGCCATTAAGATAGAGCGGAATGACCGGGCAGAAATGCTCAGACACAGCAGCCAATCACAGTCATCGAATGAAAGCTGGATGTATGACCGATGACGTCGCTTTGCAGGGATGCACCGGTCTGATGTTTCAGGCAGCTGAAGCCGTTTCAGGTGTTCTGTGTTTACTCGCGTTAGCAGCTGGCGCAGCAGAGAGCACGCTAACAGCGACGGTGGGCGGGCAGCGTTTCGTGCTGATGCACCCACAGATTTCTTTCTCTGTGTGTAAAACTTCAAACACTGCTCAGCGATGGCGTTTCCCATCCCAGCTTCTTCTCTTGTTTTTTAGCTTTTAGCTCCATGCTAACATGCTCCATGCTCCTGCTGTCTGCTCCTCTCCATGTGTGAGGAGGCGCAGGAAATCCTCCGCACTCAGCTCCAATCAGAGCACAAACTTTATATTTATGTATTTATCTGTCACTCGGTGAGATTAAAAATCACTTTTATTGCGAGCGAGTGACGGACCTACCAGCAGAGGGCGTTTTAACCCCTTATCACAGGGGTGGGCAATTCCAGGCCCCGAGGGCCGGTGTCCTGCAGGTTTAGGTCTCACCTTGGGTCAACACACCTGAATCACCTGATTAGTTCATTACCAGCCTCTGGAGAACTTCAGGACATGTTGAGGAGCTAATTTAGCCATTTAAATCAGCTGTGCTGGTTCAAGGACACAACTAAAACCTGCAGGACACCTGCCCTCGAGGCCTGGAGTTGCCCACCCCTGCCTTATCAGCCAGTTTCATAACCTGAAACAGTTCCTGTCGTGTAACAACGGGCCGCGTTTTAGATTTTACCTTCGGCTTTTATTCAGATTATGTTCTGGCATCATGAAGCTCACTCAGACACTTTAGGACTTTCCAGAACTTTAAGTAAATGTATTTAAAGCGTCGGCAGCGATGAGCCGTCTTCGTGCTCGATCAGTTTCTGGGACAAATCCTGGCTGATGGAGATTTTTCCCGGATCGTCACAGTTTGTGGGCTTTGCTTTTTAAACACTGACCACAGATCCCGGATCAGAGCGACTGGCGGTTGGAAGAATCCGGTCAGTCTTTAAAAAATAAAAGCTCACAAAGCACAAACCGTAGAATTAGACTTGAAGCCTGCAGCGAGTGTTTCAGCTGCTGTAGGCGACGCTCGCTCTCTGCCTCCCGGCGAGGAACACCTGAAGCCAGTTTTTCGTGGGTGAAGCGTCGGATCGGTGCGTCCCTGCTGCTGTCAGCAGATTTACGGATTCATGTGAACAACAGAAAACTGGTGAAGCTGTCGGTCAGATAGCGGCTGACCAATCAGAGCAGAGGATGTGACTGAGCTGCAGCTGTGAGTCTGTAGGTGTGATCAGAGCGAGCTGCAGCAGGAACTGAAAGTGAGACGCCGCGGGCCAACGTGTGAAGACGTGGGCGAGCGACGGGAAACTGCAGAGGATGAAGAGCACGCTCCTCCTCGTCCTCCCGTCTTTGACACGGTTTCTCTCTAACGGGACTTGGCGGCGTTTGAAGGCAGCTATGTGGACATTGTTATTTATCTATTTATTTTCCTCGCGGGTCACTTCCTGCGTGGCGCTTTGTTTCTTCTGTTTCCATCACAAATATACCCGTCTGTTATCACAACTGTCTGCTTACTTAGCACCACGAGGCGCTTCCTGAAACACCTCACTGAGCTGCCAGTTCGTTAGGTACGCCTCTACCTTAAGCTGCCCTCCCCGACCAGCGTTATCAGGGCTCACCTCCGACGCTGTGCCAGCATGGAAGCAGCTTAAGAGTCCTGAAGGCATATGAAAGGAAAATAGACTTTAAACTCACGAATGAGGCTGTTTGTGGACAGGAAGTTGACAGGTAAAGAGGTCGTGGTGAGTGCTCGGGTGGTTAAAGGGTTAAATGTGGCTGTTAATAAACGAGGTAAAAAGACACACGTGGACCCTGACTCTGAAAACTAAAAGTTTTATTTTGACTCAGTGAGGCTAAAAAAAGTCAAAACAAAAAAACCTGATGAGGTGACAGGTATCAGGACATCACACGGTGTGCAGAGCACAGATATGCCACCAGAGGGCAGTATATGCTGATGGGCTGGTAACCATGATGTTTAGTGAAATAAGACAGTATAACAGCTGAGCATAGAGCTGTGACATCACACTGAGTGAAGTGTTTTCTCCATCTCAGTGTTTTGGAAGTGGGCGGGTCTGTCTGTGATTGACAGGTCTCCGCCCCTGGTTTATTATTCAGACAGTTCACTGAGCTCAGATCAGCTGAGCTCATTTTCTCAGGTCAAGTCTCTCAAATCAGCGATCCTTGTAAAACTCCTGAGACCCACCTGAGCTCTTCAAATGTATGTAAAAGTATAAAAACTGCCTCCACCTGTGAGACTGTTAAGCTATCAGATCTGACAGATGTCAGGACGCAGCTTTTAACTCTGAGAGGAAAGTAACTGAGTTCATGACAAATACCATGTAAGTCAGCGAGTACAAACAGCTGCTCTGCTTTAGGATCACATTTTAAAGCCTTTATTCAAATATTTCATTCCACAATCTGTGAAAGTGAAAGTGTGCACGCTCCTTGTTTCCTCAGTTATTCCCAACAGGACGAACGGAAAGGCTGATGAAAAACAGGAAATACAAGCGAGTGAATTTTTATCTGAATTATGCTGAAGCTGCCTAATAGTGATCAGTGCTAGCACCTGCAGAGCACACTCACCTGTCCACCGTGTTTACCTGCAGCTCACAGGAACCAGGTGGAGTTCATGTCTGCACCAGGTCAGCCATCACATCGTACAGTCTATTTATTAAGGTTTCAGTGTTTCTGCTGAAACCGCCGTCAGAGCGTCGGCTCATCAGCGCGGCGTACAGAGGCTGAGAAGTCCTGAAGTCCCGCCTCTCAGGAGACCGTCGTGCCAACTCGCTGTCGAGGCCTAACCTGCGCTGAAGACGGTCGCGTTCAAGACCAGGCATCAACAAAATCACCTACTGACCAATCAGATCACTCCGAGTACAGGTGTAAAAAGCTGTTTTGTTGGTCCAAAAGCATCAATAACATCAACGCAGCATCTGTTTGTCGACGTCATGTTAACCTGTGAGGTGAGCAGATCTGTGTCGGTTCACTGAGCTGAGAAACTTGGAGCCATCTGTTTGATACTGGCTCCTCCTGCTCAGAGGAAGAGCTTCCCAGAACTAGAACTTGCTCTTCCTGGTTCCTGATGTTGAACAAAAAATTGAAACCTTTCCTGAGTTTGTTGTGACCCTTTCAGATTCTTCTCTCAGAGTTGAAGCTGCTTCCTGCAGCATCGATACAGACGCCACGTTAAACACAGTCCAGGTGTCTTGCTGTGCTTACCTGATGAGAGCTCTGCTGCATTCAAGGCCCGTGGTATATCTTCAGCCCTGTGTCAGATACAGATGAGGTGTTCACTGTAAATTGGACGTTTTGTTACTTTGAGTTTAGAATTTTAATTTAAACAACAAATTTGGCTTCCAGCGATGTAATTGAGATAAATTATTGATATATTATTGTCATATTCTCTGTTCAGCACTTCTCTGTCCTGTGGCAGCTCTCGTTCGGTTCACATTGATTCATTTCTTTTAGTTTTGTCGGCTGAATTATGAGTAAAGTTCATAAATACACAAGTTTCCAGATTCTTTGATAAACATGAGTTTTGCTGTAACAAAGCAGCCCTGCTTCAGCAGCTGATGTGAGTCAGAAAGGTAAATCACAATAACATTTATATAAAAATATGAGCTTGTAAAAGCCAGTATTAAGCTTGGATCTGAAAAAAGATTTTGTGGAGCTTTGAGGTGAGTTTGTGTTGCGTTAGAGCAGGGGTAGGCAACTCCAGGCCTCGAGTGCCGGTGTCCTGCAGGGTTTAGATCTCACCCATGGTTAACACACCTGAATCAAATGATTAGTTCATTACCAGGCCTCTGGAGAACTTCAAGAAATGCTGAGGAGTCATTTAGCCCTTTAAATCAGCTGTGATGGATCATGGATACATCTAAAACCTGTAGGACACCGTCACTCGAGGCCTGGAGTTGCCCACCCCTGCGTTAGAAGGTTCTTCACATTTATAAGCTGAAAAAGCTGCAAGTGTGGTTTCATTCATCCTGCTGCAAGAATGAACTTGGCTGACAGACTGCAGCGTTCGAGCTGCTGTTGTGCTTTCAGGCAGCAGGGGGCGGCGTGGCGCCAGCCAGGACCATCCCGGCGCGAGAACAGATCCACACTTACTCTCCTGTTTGCATTGCATTCCAAATTTATTGTTGCATCGTACATACAACACCTGATAGAAATGTAAGAACACCTGTAAAGCACGAGCTTAGTGTGTAAACAACGATATCGTATAGAAAGCCACATTCGTACATTCAGTCGTGCATAAAAGAAGACCAACAACAGCGTAAACAGAGTCTGGAACACGAGCCGTCCCTGAAGCTCTCACTTCCATTAGAAAACAGGCAGGCGGAGTATAGAGATATAAAGAAGTATATCAACATATTGCATCATGCAACAACGAGGAAGAACCACTTGTATTGATATATCGTCATCATCAGTCGACGGGATGCATTTTGTTTGTCACAGTCTTACTGGAGAGTGCAATAGAAGTGTGATCCGTGCGTTATGACTCATCAGAGAAGGAAACTGATTTTATCCCACACAGTTTTCATGTTGAACCTGCTCTGGTTAGTGTCTTTAAACGATGTCAGGCACTCTGGTTTCTCCCCCTCACAGGTGGAGCTCCCCTGCAGCGTTAAAGGGGACCTATTATTGTCACATTATGCTCAGCTTTACATTTTTATTCTAGAGTAGCTTTGCATGATTCACAGTTTTTAAAAATTGTCTTTGTCAGAAACAAGCTACTGTCTCGTTATAAGGTTCCCCTCCCTAAAAGCCTACTTTCTCCGGATTGGCCTCTTTCTGGAAGCATCCAGAGCTTCTGAGCTAATGATTGAGGATAACACGGTGTGTATTTGAAACTGTCGATCACATTCTCTGATAACCAGACGTCGTTTTAAAAGCAGCGCCATGTGTACCAAATGTAGCTACATTTAGCTACATTGAGTACACACTGAGTACATGACTAAGTTGTAACACCTCAGACTATATTTTCAAACACCTCAAAAGGCGACATTTAGCTACATTGTAGCTACCAAATGTAGCTACAATGTATCTACAATGTAGCTACATTTAGCTAAATGTAGCTACCAAATGTAGCTACATTTAGCTATAATGTAGCTAAATTTAGCTACAATGTAGCTACCAAATGTAGCTACATTTAGCTATAATGTAGCTACATAATGTAGCTAAATTTAGCTACAATGTAGCTACCAAATGTAGCTAAATTTAGCTACAATGTAGCTACCAAATGTAGCTACATTTAGCTATAATGTAGCTACCAAATGTAGCTACATTTAGCTACCAAATGTAGCTACATTTAGCTACAATGTAGCTACCAAATGTAGCTACTTTAGCTAAATGTAGCTACCAAATGTAGCTAAATGTAGCTACATTTGGTAGCTACATTGTAGCTGGACGCGGGCCCGTCTATTCTAACTCGTTTCACTCATTCAATAACTTTATTTGCTGTATCTGTTGTCTTGGTTGGAAAGTTGTTCCAAAAAATAAAAGTTGTGTTAATATTGGAGACATCAACGTCTGCTTCACTCGCTTCTTGAACTTTGAGGCGATAATTCACTGTCATAGGCCTGAACCTCATGCTCTAAAGTCTATTTCTGATCCCAGCTAGCTAACTCATCAGCTTCAAGTCAAGAGCTGCGTCCCAAAACGTCGGCTGCATCCTCCTGAGGCCGCATTTGTAGACCGATTACGTCACAGCAACGCAACGAAGGCTGTCCAAATTCGTAGACTCCTCCGAATGCAGCCGACAAATGCGTCCTCCTTTTCCCCAGATTTGAAGGATGGGTCGTGTGTGTCCTTCATGGTCCACCATATCCCAGAATTCATAGCGCAGCCCAGTCAATTCCAGTTTCCAACAATGGTGGCAGCTACTAAGTTTTAATATTTCTCTTATTTCTCTTTCTGGGTCACAAATTAAAGCTTTAACATATTTTCAGGTGAAAATGTAGCTGTGTAAACCTCAAATATCTGTTCGTTTCATCAAGACATCGCATATTTGCTCTGACGTTTTCAGAGACGTCTGTTACCCACCAGCTCGATCGCTGACCGGGAGCTCGAGGGTCACTGGAGCCGACAAGAGCAGCGAACTCCCAGCTTCATCGTTTTCAGACCCCCTGTGATCTTTCGTTACTCAGGTTAAACATGATATATACGTCACTCGGATAACCTAAAAATGTAATTGTTTGGCTTTTTTCAGTGTTTTATTTGTTCGTGAGTAAATCGGTTTGGCTGAGATCAAAGTTATTAGATTAGATAAAATAAAACTTTATTAATCCCCCAGGTGGGTTCCTCTGGGATTTTCACACAGCTGAATAAACGACCAACTATCCAGCAGTCCCAGTGACATGTAAGCGTCCACGTGATTAATCACTCGTGAGTGCAGACAGAGTAATCGAGGGCGTTACCTCCATGTCTGCACAGGGAGGGGAACTTGCATTCTTTGTCATGGCCACAGAAAAGGACCCTCGCCTCCCTTCCTGCTGAGTTTATGTGTCAGTCATTAGTTTCAGGTAAAGTTAAATAAAACCATAAACTTATTTTTAACGTATCTGTATATATGTGAGAGAATAAAACTGCAATAGATCCCCTTTAAGACTGGTGGTCACTGCTGTGGATGGAGTCCTCGCTGACGCACATGCTTGAGTCACCACAGAGTAATACATATGAACAAAAACTTTTACCAGAGATTATTTTAAAATGCAGTTAGGATGATATTTGCACGGTGCTCCGCAAAATAAAGCTTTGCATCCAAACTCCATCAAAAGTGTTTCTGGCCCCAAACCACAGCTACAGTAAGGAAAAGCACCCCGTCAAGTCTTTTTCCCCAACAACAACACTTGAAAAAGCTACCCACTGATTTAAACAGGTCTCATTACCACAGACGTAATGTTACACTGGAGGCGTAACTGAACTGAAGTTACATTCGTCATCATTTTCAACCAGTTTTTACCAACAAAACTAAACCAAATGATCCACAACAGCGAACAGAAACCCCACGTCCTCCGTGTGACGGCTGAACCTCAACAAAACGACGGCATCATCCAAAGGGCAGGAAGGTTTTGACCTCCCTGAACCCATGAGTTAAAACACCACCAACTGTAAGACTCCACTTTACACCAGCAAACGTAAAGCTTCACGTTGTCCATATTTTGATGTGTTTCATCTTTAAATGGGTTCAGCTTCCTCTCCACACGTTACTCCACGATGCCGAAGCACATCGAGCTGAAATATTCCGTTTATCAAAGCGCCGACTGTCACATAAGACTTTCAGTTCAGACACGTTATGGATGCTAGGTCGGTTAAAACTGGAATGAAATTTGGACGTTTTGTGCAGGAGCAGTGGGAAATCATTCAGAGCGCCTCCTGCTGAACTGCCGACATTTTGTGTCAAATGGGATTAACAGGAAGTGGATCAGCTCAGCTGTTCTTTGCTACAAGTCCATCAGCTTTTTAGCTAGCTAACGTTAGCGCTCAGTTTCTCCCAAAAGCTCTTTTAGCTGTTAGCTATAGTGCAACACAAGACACGTCCATGCATGTTTCTCACAGTCTGGATTATACGTACATGTAAACCTGGCACAGCATGCTGTGTAAGTACTGCAGGACTGAACTGTGCTCGAGCAAAGGAACAACAGTTCAGTGTAAACAGAGAACAGAGATTTTCTGACTGCTTGACTTTCTCGTTTTTACTTTTTAAAAGAGCACCAGACACGTAATGCACAGGAAAATAACATGCAAATCCATTTCAGCCTTAAATTCCACACATTTTCTCTTAACTTTGATGAGTTCCTATGATGGCAAATTAGGCCAGGAGAGGGCAAAAATCACAACTAAGGGGCTCGGCAGAGGAGCGAGATTATGAGGGAAAAAATGGCAAATTTACGAGAGAAAATATAAAATTACTAAAGAAAAACAGCAAAAAAATATGAGAAAAATTGTATATTTACTAGAATTTAAACTTCTCCAAAAAAAAAGGAAAATTCAAGAGGAAACAGAGAAAATGTATGAATAAGAATGAAAAAAAAAAAACCCAAAGACAAAAGTCTTTTGATGTGAAAATATAAGAAAACCAAACAAACTAAAAAGATACAAATACACAAATTTTATGAAAAATGGGCAGATTTACAAAAAAATTAAGTAAAATTTAAAACAAGGTTCATGAAAAGCTGCCAAAACATGTCAAAGATAATATTATTGTTTACAAAACGTTCATTTTTTGTGGCAAATTTGTAACTTTTCTCAAAACGTTTGAGGTTTTTGTTTTAATTTAATTGTAATGCCTCTTCCAGCCCCTTAGTTTCTGTAAATGTTGTTTGCCACATCGCGTCACCGGAGAGTTCCACCCTTCATGAGTCGGGAGATTGACCCTGTTTTTTGATGCTGAGTGCAGATGTGACGCTGCTGATGGACCCAACGGCCTCTTTGCTCCAGATGACTTACAGATCAATAATGAAGGCACACCACCATGCTGCTCCGGCCTCGCCCTGCTCTCATGGCGGCTCATATTATAATACACTCGTCCATTAAGTTACCGCTGTTTCCTGTGCTGAAGTCGCTCACGTCTGTGCTGTAAAAACCCCGAGAATCTCTGTGAACATCGACAGCGACCGTCTGCATGCGTGGACGCCGCTGCTCGGGGTTAGTCGTGGCTGAGGGTTCGCGGCAGCTCGTTGGTCAGGATGTGCCACCGCTCCACCCTTTGGCCCTTGTTCTTCAGGCAGTCGGTCCAGTGACGGAGGGCGTCGCCCTGGGACTTGGAGCTCAGACAGACGCCACCTGAACAACAGGAAGGAAGCACAGGAAGACTTCCTGCAGTTAGCGTAACAGTCTCGCCTCAGGTGTCCTCTCTGGCTGTTTGAGGACAAACATGAGAATACTAACGGAGTAGGAACCGTTTATGAAAACGGAAGAATTAAGTCAGTAATCCAGATGGTAATTGTGATAAATATGCAGTGATAAGCTTAAACACACTAATCTCAGCATGTGTTAGACTCATGAATATTTACAGCAGTTTTTCACAGCTGAGCCAGAGGACGATGTTAAACTTACTGAGACACTCCACGCAAGTACAAAACACATTTCTGACAACTTCCCAAGAAGCTGCAGGGTTCAGGTGGATAGGGCTGATCGCTCGCTCACCTATGAAGTCGTTGGAGCGGCCCAGGTCATAGTCCCACACTGTGACCTCCAGAGTCTTGTTGGCCAGCTCTGACAGGGAGATCTCATAGAAGAACTCCTGCAGTGAACACAGAAACAAGAGGAAGAGATGCAGGGATGGAGTGCATACGGGGCTGAGAGGTGGTCCTCCACGCTGGGTGGACCTGCAGCTCAGATGAGGCAACCAGACCCTCCAACCCCATCAGGAAGCTAAAATTCACTGATTGGTCAGATCCACCGATCCTAATGTTACAGATCCTCCTCGCTTTGACCCATCGAGAACTCTGCGGACTTCTGAAGGTGTTCTCTGCCCTCCATGGATCGGCCTCATTTTCCCAGCAGACCCTACAGTTCCTCAGTCGGATCGAGATCTTGGGACCAAGGCCAAGTCAACACCTCAAACTAGTTTTCCGACCTGTTCTCATCTCTCGGTGTTGAAAAGTCGTCTTTGTGGCGTTGTTCAGACCAGTCTGTCACTCCCACCTTGTCTTTGTCGAGAAGGTGAACCCGGGGTACATCTGGAACTTGGTAGAGAGACCTTGTTTGGCTTTGAAGTGCTTCAGGAGGAACTGGAAGACAATGCTGCTGGAAAATGATGTCTTATTCATCTCTGGCTCTCTTCCACAGCATGTCTTTTGTCCTGTCTTCCTCCCCTCAGCTCAACCTCCCTGAGCCTGGTTCTGCTGAAGGTTTCTTCCTGTTAAAACCTGTTAAAAGGGAGTTTTTCCTTCCCACTGTCACCAAGTACTTGCTCACAGGGCTTTGTGTGATTGTTAATGATATTGATTCTCTGTAATATTGCAGGGTCTTTACCCTGATTAGAACTGGAATACCCTGATTAAATGGTAAACGGCCTGTATTTGTATAGCGCTTTACTAGTCCCTAAGGACCCCAAAGCGCTTTACACACCCATTCACACACTGGTGATGGCAGCTACATGTAGCCACAGCCACCCTGGGGCGCACTGACAGAGGCGAGGCTGCCGGACACTGGCGCCACCGGGCCCTCTGACCACCACCAGTAGGCAACGGGTGAAGTGTCTTGCCCAAGGACACAACGACCGAGACTGTCCAAGCCGGGGCTCGAACCGGCAACCTTCCGATTACAAGGCGAACTCCCAACTCTTGAGCTACGATTAATTGGCCGCCCCCACATGACTGGACTTTTAACACCTAAATCACATATTCTAACTTCACCAAAGTCTTCTCCTTAACAAAATGTTTCTAGCAACATCTATTAATACTTCAAAGCAATACATTTTACAGTTTCTTCCATAAAATTAGGAAATAGTGTTTGCACTTGAATTTTTTCCATCACCAGCTAGAAAAACTAATTTCTGTGCCAGAGAAACGCAGTCGGTCTATCATCCGCCGATGTGGGAGAAACACAGGAGTTATTTCCTCTGAGAGGAAAACAACATCCAGGAGATTCATCCTCCAGCGATGGCGTCGGCGAGCCGGACCCGATATAAATGAAACTTTAACCGCTGAGGTGAATAGAGCGAGCTTGTTAACAGCACTGCTGTGTGAGGGCAGAGCTGCCGTTCGGCCGAGGGGAGCAGCTGCGGGGATCTTACCTCGTTAAATTCAGGGTTCAGGGTCCTTTTCATCACGGCCGTTTTGTGCTTGGATTTCTTCTCTATGTCGGGCTTCAGGTATCTGACAGCAGAAGCAGAAAAGGAGGAGAAACATCAATATGTGTGTCTGCAGAAACTATTAATATACAGAAATATCTGCAGAGTTTCAGTGGAAAAGTCCTGTGAATGCTGAGGAAGGGGATAATAAATAAATAAAGACTGAATTCAGCTAATTAAACAGATCCGTTCAGTTACTCTGTTTGGGAGTTTCATATCATATCAGTGACTTGGAGAGGAGGTGAATGTTTCCGTTGTGTGTGGTTGCTGTTAATAAGAAATGCATTAATGAGAGAAAACAAAGCAATCTGAAGTCATAGACTGTAAATGAAGCTTAATTAAACGAGTGTTTGGGAGCCCGAGGCGACAGTCGCTCTGCGCAGGATGAATTTCATGCTGCTGTCTGATGAAATCCTGGAAGTCATCGTTATTGAAGCTGTAATGCAGAAATAATCGAGTCAGTTTTACAGTGCTGACTGCGAAGTGATTAACCCAAACCTAATCATGCCCCGAACTCTTAGAGCAGAAGGTAAAAGGATGCTCTGAGGGGCTGTACAGACGGAGAACAGCCAGAAGAAGGCGAGGAGAAACTGTGAGTGCGGGCAAAGTAAAAGTCGATCTTTATCGGGATGTGAACCTCCCAACCAGGACTGGTTGTTCTGGCTGCGTCTCCGTTTGTATTCAGCGAGCGTGCAACAGGAAAAAACAAAAAAACAACAACTGTCGTCCTCTTCAAAGCGAGCGTCCCTCGAGAGGAAACAAAAGCAGAGGAGAAGCTTTAAGCTCCGGCCCCCTGGTGTTTCCCTGTGACAGAGCCGAGACGCCACTCGCAATGCTCTCTCCTTCACGCTAATTATCCTTCCTGCCAGGAAACAGACGCAGCTTTTAAACAATAACTGCTTCCTTGATTTGCAAAAGTTAATAAGATGGCAAAACTCCAGCTTTTAATTGTCTTTTTCAGGCAGAAGTGTCGGGTTAAGTCCTCAGCGATGGCTGCAGGGAGGAAACCGCAGAAAAAAACAAAGAAATCTTTGTTTTCATTCTGGACCAACGTGCCGACCAGCACCACTCACCAGCCCTGCTTTTAAACAGTTACTCGGGGAGACCATTATCTTTTTGGTTAACGGCCAAAATGCTGAAACATTAACAGAAGCTTTTCCACAAAAAGGCACTTCACTGCTCAAACACGCCAAAATATCTCCAAAATATGACTTTTCTTCTTTAAATAAATATATCTGGCTGGAAATGTAAAAGTTTAGGTACAAATTAGGAATTAAAAAGCTCTCACTGATTAGAAGTAACCTCTTAGTGCCTAAAAGCAAAACACACTGAACTAAAAAATATTTTTAATGTGTCTGAATGAAGACCTTTTGTTTCGTTATACAAAATATATTTACAGAAGAATTTTTTATAATGAGCGGCAGTTCAGATCAGTCCAAAAAGACTTTTTCTGATTCCTTTGGAGAACTCTGAGCTTTGTCTTCACTCCGATCGCTTAATCTGTAAAATTCTTCAAAAAAGTTTTACTGCTGAAGACAGCATGAACACAGGACTGCAGCGCCCCCTGCAGGTTATGGTTGGGATCTTTTTCCACCTTTGGGACATAAAAACTAACGATGAAACCTGCAGTCCCCCTAGTGTCCAGCAGAGGCAGCCGTGAGTCAGTCCTCACACCGAGCGCATCTACTGCGGGTGTGATGCCTGTTATCGGACCCGGAGTTAGCAACATCCCCCAAAAACCCGAAGAGGAGAGTCCTGGCCCCTAGTCCTGCCAGTGTAGCAGAAATGATGAGGATGATGATGCAGCAGCAGCCGTTCTTCTCTGCGTGAGTAGCTTCATGTTGTTCGTGTGTAATTTACGTTGAGTAGGCTAACCACGTTATTACATTAATGCATGTAAGGTGAACTAGCAAACACCATCATAGCTACATGCGGCTGTCTTCTTGTTTGATGGCAGATGCTCCCTTCACCCTGGCCAAAAAGGCTAAAATGACCAAAGAAAAAATGGAAAACAGTTGAACATGAGAGGTTTTTGGACAAAGTTTGTGTTTTTTCCATTGTTTAAGCACTGCTTCCAGCCAAGAGTGATGCCATATATGCCCCATAGCTGCAGAAAAGGCTAACATTGTTATCTTTTTACAAAAAACAGCTGAACATGAGAGGTTTTTGGACAAAGTTTGTGTTCTCCATTCTTTAAGCACCGGCACCGTTTCAAAAGTACCGGTTTGGTACCGGTATCGGATAAAACCTAAACGATACCCATCCCTATTCACAGCTGAAACAAACAGCCTGATACGCAAACTGATTGGTCTAAATCAGACCCATCCACAGCCAATGAACAGCACCGTTCATGATTTCAAAGGAAAATGAATTTAGTCTTGGACTCACACACACACACACACGTGGGGCTCTTACATTTTCACGTAGGGGTCGGAGAATCCGTTAACATCCATGGCTGCCAAGTGGGCGCAGCGCTTCACGCCCACACAGAGACCCCCGTTGCGAGGGCCTTCACCTCCACCTTCTACGGCTTTATCCTCCAGACTGACCGGAGGCAGGAACTGAAGGGAGAGGAGAAGACGACCTCGCTCCTCCAGGCTGTGCAGCTGCTCGTTCTCCCACTGCGGACAAGATTACACCGTTATCAGGGAAGTCGTGTCAGGTGCGTCATGTGACAGCTCAGGTTAGCCTGGGATGGTTTTCACGTGTGCAGAGGACGATGAAGATGGAACTAACTCATCATCAAGCTGTTTTCTCACAGCACAGGAAGTCTTTCTGCAATCACAGCCACCTGGTGGCCTTCAGGTAGAAGCAGGGTTTAAGGCATTTACGCTTCATTTTAACGTCCATGTTTTAAACCCTTTACCCCAGCAAGCAGTAACGGTCAGGGAACCTTTGGGGAACGTTCCCTGAAGATCCTTTGGGTTTTTTCATCGGGTTAAACAAATGAAAGTTTTAGGGTTGTAAATGTAATAAATACAAAAGCAACGAATGTGCAACTGGACATGTAGATTTGAACTCTGCACCAGGTGTTCATCACACCATTGCCAGCTGCCATTAAACCCCAGAGAAGAAGAGTCTGCCAGCCTTGTTTTCACCAGGATTATGTGGAGGAGGCGTTTTTCCACACTGAGCTGATTCTGCAGTGTAAACGTAAAGCAGGCGAAACTGTTTTTTAATAATGATCTCTCACTGTGATGATGTCACCCTCTGACCTGGTTATGTCTTCATAATATAACAAATTATATTTATAATTATATTAATTATTATATTATTATAGTTATTAACTGCAGACATGTAAGCAAAGAGCTGAAGCTCTTCATCATCCGTGTCGGAACAGCTGGGAACATTTCCCTTTATTTTCCTGTCAGTGGGGAAAATATGGAATTGCGAGCTGTTATCAGGGCTCGCTTTAAATCTTTATGCTTTCTACATGCTGACAGCACACAACAATCACAGTTTCTACGTTTTAAGGCCTTTTTATCATTTTTCCACCAATAAATCAGGACGTTGACCTCGGTGGATGGAAGGAATTTTAATGATTGTTAACATGAGCTCGCTGAACACGCCACAGAGTTTTATCAGAATTCATTAAAATGTTTTCGAGCTATCGCCTTTGCAGACAGAGACACACACACACACACACACACACACACACACACACACACACACACACACACACACACACAGAGACACACACACACACACACACAGACACACACACAGACACACACACACACACACAGACACAGACACACACACACACACACAGACACACACACACACAGACACAGACAGACACACACACACACACACAGACACACACACACACACACAGACACAGACACACACACACACACACACACAGACACAGACACACACACAGACACACACACACACACAGACAGACACACACACACAGAGACACACAGACACAGACACACACACAGACACACACACAGACACAGACACACACAGACACAGACACACACACACAGACACACACACACACACACACACAGACACAGACACACACAGACACAGACACACACACACAGACACACACACACACAGACACACACACACACAGACACACACACACACACACACACACACACACACACACACAGACACACACACACACAGACACACACACACACAGACACAGACACACACACACAGACACACACACACACAGACGCATATCATCTCATTGCAGAGGTATATGAGCTACAGCGTGTGGAGTCACATTAAGCTGGTGGTCTTTCCTGCACAGTCTCCGTGCCTGAGGAGAAAAACACTGACCCTTCATAAACATATGTACTGTATGTAAAACTTAACCATGAAATAAACTTCAGCAGAGGTTTCTCTGAGCTATAGTCTCAATTTATGCTGGACATTGCTGCTCTGTAACTGACAGCTTACATTACAACAGCCTGTGAAACCATGTTTGTGATTCTGCGCCAAATCACAACAACACAGAAAAACCCAACAATCATATGACCCCCTATGAGCAGCACTTTGGCGACAGTGGGAAGGAAAAACTCCCTTTTAACAGGAAGAAACCTCCAGCAGAACCAGGCTCAGGGAGGGGCGGGGCCATCTGCTGTGATTGGTTGGGGTGAGAGAAGGGAGACAGGATAAAGACATGCTGTGGAAGAGAGACAGAGGTTAATAACAGATATGATTCAATGCAGAGAGGTCTGTTAACACACAGTGAGTGAAGAAGAAACACCCAGTGCATCATGGGAATCCCCCAGCAGCCTATTGCAGCATAACTAAGGGAGGATTCAGGGTCACCTGGTCCAGCCCTAACTATATGCTTTAGCAAAAAGGAAAGTTTGAAGCCTAATCTTGAAAGTAGAGATAGTGTCTGTCTCCTGAATCCAAACTGGAAGCTGGTTCCACAGAAGAGGGGCCTGAAAACTGAAGGCTCTGCCTCCCATTCTACTTTTAAATACTCTAGGAACAACAAGTAGGCCTGCAGAGCGAGAGCCAAGTGCTCTAATAGGGTGATATGGTACTACAAGGTCATTAAGATAAGATGGGGCCTGATTATTTAAGACCTTGTATGTGAGGAGCAGGATTTTGAATTCTGGATTTAACAGGAAGCCAAAACAGGAGAAATCTGCTCTCTCTTTCTAGTCCCTGTCAGGACTCTTGCTGCAGAAAGAAGTTGAAGACTTGAGGAAAGTTGCCTGATGTGAATCTAACATCAGACGCTTTGGATTAATTTCCCTTCGGAGCTTCAGTTTCTCCTGCTTCAGCTGCTTTGATGGTTTCGCTTCAGGTGTTTCAGAGTTCATATTGCAGACCGGCTCCCACAGGTGAGAACGCTCTTGAACCGGGAACCAGAGAGTCGCTGTGACATGGAAGCCCTGTGTGTTCTCTTTGAGTGTGAGGCTGCCAGATTTATAATGACCACGTCTACAAAGAGCTCTGTTCATTATTTCCACAGAAGAGGCCACGCTGTGAGGCAGGGATGCTGTTTTTGGCCTGACAGGTGAGGATTTCACATCTGTCACAGTTCCCTGTGTGTCAATGAAAGCAAAGAGTGGCAGTGATCCAGAGTCCAATACCCATGTGACCTGTGGGAGTAGGCACAGGGAGCGCTGTCAGGTCTGTCTGCTGTGAAGCACTTTGGTCCACGAGCTCTGAATGCTGACGCATTATTGCAGTTTTGTCTCTGTCCTTCGCCACAGCAGCTTTTAAACCATCAGCTGTGATCGAAGTGCAGACACGCAGCTTTAATCCAAGGGCTTTATCCAAAGTGTGGCATTAAAATTCGACTTATTCAGACATTGTTATGCACAGTCCCACAGCATCAGAGGCTCAAACGCCATCAGATGATCGCCTGACAGACAGTTTCAGGTCAGCCCAGTGCAGCTGATGCTCCAGTGGCGCAATCGGTCAGCGCGCGGTACTTATACGACAGTATTCAGCAGAGCGATGCCGAGGTTGTGAGTTCGAGCCTCACCTGGAGCACAGGTTTTACTCTCAGCCTGAACCAGCAGGTGAAGAAGGCTGAGTCTTAGGAAGCCGTGCGGGGGTGGGGAACTGCAGGGTTTAGATCTCACCCTGGGTCAACACACCTGAATCTAATGATTAGTTCATTACCAGCTTCTGGAGAACTTCAGGACATTTAAAACAGCTGTGTTGGATCAAGGACACGTCTAAAACCTGCAGGACACCGGGCTTTGAGGCCTGCAGTTGGACGCCCCTGGTTTAAAGGTTGGTGGTTTGATCCCTGGCTGCTCTGGACTGTGGGCCAAGATTTATGCAACAAGGATGCAGATGGTTCCCTCTGCAGGACTTCAGGTGTAATTATTTTGCCACAGATCCACCTCCTCTGAACTTTCACCTTCCTCCTCCTAACATCTGACCCTCCTCCACCTCATCCCTGCTCCTGTAGTCCTGCTGTCCTCTACAGAGGCCACAGTTTTATCCTGAAAGGGTTGAAATTACTGCACATTTCTGAAACCTCACTAAAACGTAAGTCCAAGATTCTCATATTAAAGAAACAAATAGATTTTTGTTTCTTTAAAATGTTCCCACAGATGGAGGAGATCAAACAGACACGTCTCCACAGCGATGGCGTTCGTTAAAACTCGTCTCACAGCAGGTCTTCGATTTGATCTCTCTGATCACGGCACAGCAGAAGGTACGAAGATCGATAGTTTAATCCTCCGTCTCTGCCTCGCCCTTCTCCCGGGGGGAGCTTTCCTGTCTCCGTCAGATGCCACGGGTTCACTCCATCACTCCCGCCGTTCTCATTACAGCCCTACTGAGCGTGCTCAGTTTATCACCTGGACCTTGGCCTAATTCACACTTCGACCTTTCACTGCGCTTTAAAAAGACAAAAGCTTCAGTTTGGAACTCTGTGAAGGGAAAATGAAAGGGCAGAGATTTTATTTAAGCCGTGTACTAACCGCCTCCTACGGTCTGAGTTGGTATTCAGCTCCAGCGAGCTCACTTTCCACCATTTGACACGAAGAGCTGCAGCTAAAAAAAGGAAAACAGGTCGGGAATGAGCAGATCGATGGCTTTTACTGGGAACCAGCAGGGCCTGGCAGGATTTCTCTCCCGCCCACCAAACAGAGGGCGATGCACTTTGTAAACACTCCCAGCTGAAATCAGAGTCTACAAAGTGAAACTCCCATCCACACTTCAATGACTCCTCTGCTGCAGGAAATGTCATCACACCGGAGGTTCACGTTCCAGGTGAGTGGGTGACGTACAGCCGGCGCGCAGACTGAAGCTTCCACGCTCGACTTTGAAAGGGAAAGGTCTGAGCTGCACGGGTCATCCAGATAAACCGGCAGCAGGAAAGGATTTAAAATCTGCTGTTTGATGTTTTCCATGAGACTGAAAAGCAGCAAAAGCACCTGAGAGACGGTTTATCACGCTGCAAACTCTGCTTCAGTGTGCTTCACCCAACTTTTCATGTATTAAATGCTTTTGACTGCCTCAAACAGCCTGTGGACTGATCTCCACCTGAACGGCTCTGTGAATTTTCCACTTAAGTCCAAAAAGGATTTGACATCTTTCTTCTACTGCCAGCATCAACACGGAGTTCACATCAGGAAGGAAACTATGGACTGATGTTGACAGATGTTGACAG